TGGGAGCTCTTTCACGTTGGCCTTGTTCCTGCTTTAACCAATACATTTGACACAAGTGACACTGTGCCAGTTACAGGCTTAAGTCCTCAGAAGGCCAGACAGCTCACTCTTGGGACCTCTAACATATCATGTAACAAGTTCAGCCCTGCTGGAAGCTCTTACATTACCTGGAGAGAGTGAGGCCTGCTGTCCCAGCTGACCCCAGCCTTCCAGCTGACCCCAGCCTTCCAGTCAACCCATGAAAATACGTGATGAAACCCATGAAAATATGTCAAATATGTGATGGAACCATCTTGCATGTTCCAACCCAAATGAGTCCCCAAATGACTGCAGCCATAGCAAGATGCATCACTCACATCTCAGCTGATCACATCCGCTTTGGGTAAACCCAAAGAACTGTGAGAGATTAAAACATAGTTGCTCTCCTAAGCCACTCAGTTTTAGAGTGGTTTGTTGTGTAGCAGTCAATAACCAGAACCCTTCTCTCTTTCAGCTTACCTAATAACAGAAGCACCTTCCTGTCATCCATGGCGCTTACTCAGTCCCATGACTACTTCCTACCTTCCATATCAAACCAATTATCAAGGCTAACTGATTCCACCTCTGGCAACTCTCTCAATTCCTCCCCACCCCTTCACCAGCTGGAGCACTAGGACAATGGCAAAAACCTCCTAACAGTCTCTGTAGACCATTTCCCAACATCCTAGTCTGCCTCATCCAATACTCCCAGAATTAGCTTTATATATACAGGTTGGATTATTCCTTCATTTGGCAAGTATTTATTAAGCTCCTACTGTGTGATAGGCACTTTTTAAATCCTGGGGACATAGAAGTGAACAAGGCAAAAACACCTCACTGACATGAAAGTCTAGAGGAGGAAGATGGGCCAATTACATGAATAAATAAAATACACGATGTATCAGAAAGTGATGAATGACATGAAGAGAAATAAAGCAGGGAAGGGGAAAGGATAGTCACAGAAGTGGGGTGAGATTTTAGAATTTTATATAGGGTGATTTGGGAAGGCATCTCTGAGATGACTGGGTAAAAATCTCAAGGATGTGAAGAGCCAAGGGAATAACTTTGAAAAGAACATCTAGGGCAAGAGAACAGCCAGTGCAAAGGCCCTGATGCAAGGAAGAGTCAGGCTGGCATGGTCAAGGGATGGACAGTTCACTGTGGCTGGTGTGGCGTGACTGAAATAGTGTGGTGCAGATGAAGTCTAAGAGTAAATGTGGGGAGATCAGACCTAGCTTTGTAGGATACTGGTTTTGCCTTTGATTAGGATGAGAAGCCATTAGAAGGTTTTGAACAAACACATGACACGATTCGATTTTCATTTAAAATATCCTCCTAGTTGCTCCACTGATTAATGTACCTTAGCAGGACACAGGCAGAAACAGAGACCACTCAAGGGCTGTGATCATCCAGATGAGACGGTGGCCTGGACCATGATGGAAGCAGCAGGGCATGGAAACAGTCAGAGTCCAGATTTCCATAGTGTGGATGAGGGTGTAAGAGCAAGAAAGAATCAAGGATGACTCCTTGATGACTCCAAGCAATCTGAAGGAAGAAGCTGAAATGCCTCTGCTCCAAGATAAACTCTTGAAAGAATGGTCTATATACCACTGGGGTGGAACATGTTCAGGGAAGGTGATCAGAGTTTCTTGTTGCACACATTAGGTTTGGGATGCCCGTAAGATATCCAGGTGGGGTGGCGCACACCTGTAGTCCCAGATACTCAGGAGGCTGAGGCATGAGAACCACTTGAAGCCAGGCAGCAGAGGTTGCAGTGAGCCGAGATTGCACCACTGCACTCCAGCCGGGGCGACAGAGTGAGACTCCTGTCTCACCAAAAAAAAAAAAAAAAAAAAAAAAATTCCAAGTGGAAATGTGGAGACGGTAGGGGACCAGGATATGGAGTTGCAGGCAGAGCTCTAGGCTGAGCCTCAAACAGATGGCATTTAAAGCTTTGAGAATGAATGGGAGAACCAAGGAGAGAGTATAGCTGAAGAAGACAGGAGGTCTAAGAACTGAAGCAGGGCCTTTTCCACCGTGGAAATTTGGGAGAGAAGGAAGAGCCAGCAAACGAGACAGAAGAGAAGAAGCCTATGAGTTAGGAGGAAAACCAGGAAGACCTAGTGCCAAGAGCAACTGTGTGAAAGGTTATATTAAGAAGGAGGATGTCAACAACTACATCAAATGTTGCTGAGAACTGATTGTGAACTGACTGTGGCCTGATTGTGACAGTGAGAACACTGGTAACCCAGACAACAATATTTTTTGATGTCACTTGAAAAAGCCTTACTAGAATATTCAAAAGATAACAGAAGGATAGCAATGGAGACAACAAACAGAGATAATTCTTTCAAGGAGTTCAGCTCTAAATGGGACGAAAGACAAGGCAAGAAGGTGAAGAAGAGACAGGAAGCTAGGGCAGTGCAGAAATGGAGACAAAGGGAAAGAAAAGGAATCGAGAAGAATGCACAGGTGGATGGGAGGATACAACTTTTTTTATTTTGTTTTGAGATGGAGTCTCGCTCTGTTGCCCAGGCAACAGATTCTCCTGCCTCAGCCTCTTTAATAGCTGGGATTACTGGTGTGTGCCACCACGCCTGGCTAATTTTTGTATTTTTCGTAGAGATGGAGTTTCACCATGTTGGCCAGGCTGGTCTCGAACTCCTGACCTCAGGTGAACTGCCTGCCCTGGCCTCCCAAAGTGCTGGGATTACAGGTGTGAGCCACCGTGCCCGGCCAGGAGGACACAACTCCCAATGGGAAGTAAGTTTGGAAATGAGGATGCAAGGAAAACTCAGAGGTATAGCTTAGCTTATATCAAGTTATAAAGCTGTCAGTACAGATCAGCAAGATCAGAAGAAGTAGAAGGAGAAATGAGGCAGAGACAGGGAAAACTGGGATGCTGTTTCCAGATACTTTTCCCTCTCCTGCCTCTGACTAGGGCTGTTCTGACTGGTGGAAAAAAAGATTTTTTTTAACAATGGGGGAAAACTTAATATGAGCTAGATATTAAATGATATTAATAAGTTATTAATTTTGTTGGGTATAACAAAATATAACTGTAACAATGTAACTGTATAACAATGAAATTGTGGTTATGTTAAAAAAAGAAAGAAGTCCTTATGTGTTAGAGACGCCTCCTGAAGTATTCCCAGGTGAAATGATATAACTGGGATTTGCTGCCAACACTCTAGCAGGGAAAAGAGTAAGTGAGAGTAATGGAAGACAGAAGAACAGAATGTTGACAACTTCACAGCATCTGACAAGCCCTGGGAATGAGCAGTCTGAACAAATACTGAAAGAAGGAATGTAGGGGAAGAATATAGGTGTAATGAATGAGAGCATCAGCTCTGAAAAATATTCCCTGTGAAAATGATCACTGTTAAAACAAGCCTAGTTTCCTGAAGGAACCACCTGGGGCCCTGATCCCTGGATGGGACACTCTAGAACACAGATGTCAAAGCTAGGCAAAGGAAACCCACGCATAGTTCGAAATGCAAAAGGTAAGTGGCACCCACCTGAAGCTGGGCTGTCAAGAGCTCAGGAGTACCCCCTTTCCCCAGCAGGCAGTCCTCTCTGGGCAGACAGGAGCCACAGGGAGGCAGAACAAGAACAAAAAACGATCAAGAAAATCAAGGGAAATCCTCAAACTCCAGTAGGGCAGCGCCTCCTCTTCCTTAGCGGCATCAGGAGTGAACCTGCCACAGAAGAAAAGGAGAAAAGAATTGTGGGCAGCTTCCTGGGAACACAGCTGGGATACAGGCTGAAAGCACAACCTGCCCTAACATGCTGTTGATGCTGAGCATGAGGTGACCTCTGTGCCTGTTATTAAAGAAAGGTAATATTCACTGAGTGCTTAGTATAAACCAGAGACTGTTACAGCCACTGTAGGAGTTTCACCTCATTCTATCAACAACCCAATGAGATAGATGCTATTATCCTCTTTAGGTTAAATCGAGAAAATTAAGATACAGTGAAGTCAGCCTCTTGCCCAAGGTGACACAGCTATAAAGTGACAGAGCCCAGAGGAAATGTGGCTGTGGAGACCCTGCTCTTACACTGTAAGGGCGGTGACGGTGAACTCTGTGGGTTGCAAGGATTCTCTGTGTCCGGTCTGAGATGAATCAAGATTGGTCATAAGGTGTTAAGTGTTGAATCTGCGTGATGGAGATCTGGTCTATAGAGTTCTATCTACTTCTGGCTGTTCGAAACTTCTCCGCAATAAAAACTTAAATGGAATGTAAAATCCCAAAGCCTGACCACACCAGGGGCCTGGGAATCCGTAATTCTTGCGATCAGTGACGGTCCCTGGGACCTTGGGAAAAAACCTGTCCTGTGGGTCCCAGCCAGACTTCCTCCTCCAAGGCCTGAATCCGGGGGCGACCAACCCAAGTGAAACCCTAAGATCGCGGCAAAATGGCCACCCCAGATCCAGTCTAACCCTGGCTTGTTTGGTCAAGTCAGACCGCTCCTCATTCCACTCCAGCAAAGCCGAAGAACAGTGGGGCCCCAAGAGACTAGCCCTCAACCGACCAAAACCTGGGGGACACATGGCCCCAGGGATGGTCCCCGCTCCGCCACCTGGGAAATACCAGCTCCCTTAAAAGCCTATTTATTCAACTCCCCCAAAACCGGGGACTTATGGCATGAGCGAGCGACCCCCTTTCCCGATTTCAGCCAAAGCCGAACCTGTCCCCACCCACAAGAACCCTAGGAGAGATAGCCCGATCCCCCACCCATCACCATCCAGTTTCACGGATGGGCTTCATCCAACTCCCCCGGAGATGCGCGCCCACACCCCCAAAGTAAGACATCTGGGAGAGGACGGCCTGCGCCACGCCAGCGCGTTCCCACCACAATCACCACCCCCGCGCCACCCCCACGGTCCCCAAATTCAGCCCATAGTCCAGCCTTTCGGGACATTCCTTTCCGCGCAGAAAAGGGTACGGCTGAGGCAAGGGTCCCGCGGGAGCCTCACTCACCAGCGCCACCAAAGAACAAGGGGTCGCTCCAGCCACCAGCTGGGGAGCTCCTCCAGCGGGGCGCCAGGACTACACTACCCCGAATCCTCGGCACCACGCCCGGACCACACCTCCCAGGATGCTCGGCGCCACCAGGCGGGCCCTGACGGCCGGCAGCTCCCATTGGCCTCTGACGGATCCGTTTCTGAGTAACACGCTCCGGTCACTGGAGAATGGCCGCTGTGGCACCTGAATTCTCCCTCTTTTTTCTTAACCACGTGCATAAAACACGTAGAAGCTCCCGAGAAAAGTGCCTGGCCCTACCGTGACCCTCCCTCTGAGTGCCTCTGTCTGGAAAACTACACTTCCCAGTGACCCCTGGAGCGACTTCCACACCCGGTACCGGCCCCACCCCTTGGCGCGCGGAAATGAGGTTTCGGGGCGCATCTGTTTGGCTTCTGGGGTTGGCCGCGGTGTACAGCTGGGTGACCTAGCTTCTTCAGGTGCTGGTTCGTGTTGCAGCACTCTGTGGTCTCCCTGGCTCCAGCCGCCTGCTTGGAAAGTCACGCCCCATATTCCTAAGTACCGGGCGAGCGTCATCTCGTATACAGTTCAGCTCTATTTAAAGCCTTGGAAAGGCCGAGCAGTCTTCCCGAAGTCTCACATCCCGTTCGAGGTAGACCCGATTCTGAGCCCACGCCCTCAACCCGTATACACCTTTTCCGGTGCCCTGAGACCTTTTTCTTCTTTTTGAAATCTGCGAAGTTATGGGCAGACTCTCATCTTCTGGGAAACAGAAGCCTCATTCTTAGGCCAGAGCTTGGCCTGCCGTCCGCTTAAATCTCTAGGCCTTTGTCCGGGATCCTGGTTGAGAACAGGACTGCGCTGGTGCCATCTGGGACGCCCCATCTGGAGAGCTCGAGGGGAAGGCCCACTTCACTCTTGAGAGGGCTTTTCCACGCGTGCACCCTCTCACTGCTCTTCACCTTCCTCAGATAGGCTTTCTGAAACTTTGTCATTCTCTGGGAAGACCAAGGAAATGACCAAGGTCTGAAGGGCCAGGGAGATGAGAATTGCCTAAAATTCTTTTTTAGCTCTCAGAGGGTGAATCCATTGGCTTCTCGTACCCCGAGGCTACATGATTTATTGTGAATGCAGTTCAGTCCTGGCTCCGGAGACATGTCCAGTGTTAATTGGATTCATCCCTCAACATCATTCTCTGCTTCACTCATGAGTCAGTCATCACCAAGAAATTAGTTGTTAATACACATAAAGGTTCAGAACAACAATGCAGGGACGCCCGTGGTCAAGTGTTCACTTGTGCTGGCTGTACAATAAAGACACAAATGGCTGACATCTCTTAAGCCTGGAAATGAAGACTTACAGGATGTGCTGCCTGAGGAATTAGGCAAGATGACAAGTTGGAAGAACACAGACGAGTAAGGAAGAGTGTAGGAAGTGTGGACAGAATCTCAGGATCTGAGCCACTGGGCAGACTGTCATGACCACAGTGAGATTTTCAGTAGCACATGGTCTTGCATCCAGCTGATTTGCGTATAGACAAGGATGCTGTCTGGATGTCCACCTCTGTCATACAGATACTTGGTGTGTCCAGCTTCCTGTTTCATCCTTGAAAGACCTCAGCATTTAATAATTAGGAGTTTCTGTCTAGAAATCTGGATTGCCTGCTTTCTAAAACAGTCCTTGCTGCCATGTCCTCTTTTTCTCCTGGCACTTCCCACCCACTCCATGCCATACCTCATCTGGAATACCCTTAGCTCCTCTGAATCCATCCTGTCCTTCAAGACCAAATACCCAGCTCTGTTTCATGAAACCTTCCCTGATCACTATCCTATAGTGACTTCTTGAGACTTGAGACTCTGCTAACCCTGGCTGTACTTGGGAGCTTTTCAAAATACAGTGCCTGAACACCACCCCAATAAATGAGTTTGCAGTGGAGCCTGGGCATCCATTATTCATAACAGAGCTGCTTTCTTCTTAAGAAGGGAATATATTGTGTAATAATGTAGAAGAGAGATCTTGTTTTGGAAAATCAGAAGTTTAGTTATTGGTTAGTTGTCACTATTTCTGAACCATATACCTCAGTAGATCATTTAACCCAGTGCTCTCAAAAACATGCATACTTGTCACTTGGGATCTTGTAAGCAGCAAATTCTGAATCAGCATGCCTGATGGAGCCCAAGCATCAACATTTCTAATAAGCTTTCAGATGATGCTGGTACTGCTTGTCCTCAGACCAGACTGGGTAACAGGGCTTTAACCCAATCAGAGGCTCAGATCCTTAAATTGAATATAAGCAGCTAGATTCAAGAATCTCCAAATTCCTAAATCTCAGAAAGATAATGATTCTATACTTATGTTTTGTTTTAATATGTTGTCAGTTAAATTTAAAGCACCTCAAGGTTAGGAATTGTGTTTTCATTTGTAAACCCCATAGTAGCCAGACTAGGATCTCAACAAATGATGCTGATTGAATAGTAAACAGGGTTAATGGTCCTGGAATCCAAACTCCAGAGTTACAGTCAAAAGCAGGATCTAGATATTTTACTTATCTTCCCCAAGCAGCCCTTTTGCTCCCTTGTTTTCAACATGGGCACATGTGTCAACAGAGTGAGCAGAGCTGTGTTTGGCATAATGGGTTTTCATGGTATTCAAGGTTTTGGCTGTGGATTTCATCTAAGAGGTATGAAGGTTGTGGAGTCCTACTCAAGGACCTGTACTGGGAGATGGTGCTGGAAAACTATAGCAATCTGGTCTCACTAGGTGATAATGGCTTCTCTTACAGTTTAAAATCTGACCCACTGAGCAGCTTAAATCCCTCATGCAGAAAAGGCAGTGCATGGAGCAGCTGCCAGATATAGCTGACTTTAGCCTTTTGAACTTGAAAACAAAGACAGGTTATTCATGTTTCCCCAGGGACGGTCACGTTTGTTTGTTTTGATATAGTTGAGAATGGGTAGATAGGGGTGTGTGTGTGTTGCTCTTGAGAATTTGCTTTGTCTTTGGTTCTCAGCAGTTTGACATTGATGTGTCTAAATCATTTATTGTTGTTAGGTATTAATCCAGTTTGAGGTTTACTGAGATTCTCTAATCTGTTAACCAATGTTTTTCATTAAATTTAGGAACTTTAGCTGTCATATCTTTAAATAATTCTCAGTTTCTTCTCATTTTGGATAATTCTCAATTTTAAAATTTAATTCTTTCTCAATTTCTTCTTTTGAGTCTCCACTTACACATATGTTAGACCATTTGATATTGTTCCTGAAACTCTATCCAATCTTCAGTATGTTTTTCTGTTTGACAGATTAGTTTCTATTGACCTGTCTTCAGGTTCACTGAACTTTCCTTTTGCCATCTTCAATCTTTTAAGCCCATCTAGCAAATTTTAAATTTTTATTTATTACATTTTTAGTTCTAGAATTCCCACTTGTTTCTTTTTAAAATAATTTCCACTGAGATTTCCACCCCCATTTGTTTCTTTGTGATGCATGTATTTTTCTTTAGTATGTTTATGCTAGCTTCTGTAAAGTCTATGTGCTGAAACCTCTGGACCATCTCAGGATCTATTTCTGTGACTGCATTTTTTTCTTAACAGTGGTCACACTTCCTGTTTTTCTGCATGTCTAGTAATTTTAAAGTTTTTTATGCTGGACATTTTTTGTGGCATGATTCTAAATTCTCTTATGTTCATCTGAAAGTGCTTTTTTTACCTGTAGGCAGTTTAATTACTGGATGAATGTTTTGAACTTGTACAGGCTTCATTTTATTCTTTGTTAGGCTAGATCTTTGAAAGGTCAAAGTGTTTACCAGGCCCCTCTAACTCACAGGACTCAAACTCCAAGTTCTTTGACCCATGCAGATATTTTTAACGTCCTTATTTTAGTTCCAATTACAGTGTATCTAGAGAAGATCTTACTATAAGATGTGGTCCTTATTTTATGGCATGGCCTCTCTAGTTTCTCAGCTGAATGATTGAGGTGTTAATGAGGTTTGTTTATTCTGATTGGGCTGGAATGCCTACACTCACCAGCCCTGCTAAACTTCTAGTATTTCCATTCTTCTCTCAAGCAGCTGTTTTCTGGTAATCATTGCATATTTGCCCTGCATAAGCAAAGCTCAACTTCAGCTGAGGCGGGCTTTCCCCACTTTGCACAGCTGCCTCCTTTCTGAGACCTACCCTACCAATGTCATCTGCTTCACCATCCCCAAAGTCTTTTTTGCCTCCTCATCTCGGTAAGACCAGTATGCCTTGCCCCCACCATGCTGTATCATGGTCAGGAAATTGTCCCCAAGCAGCTAGCCAGGGCAAATGTAGAACTCATTTTCTGAATTTCCCATCTCTCAGGGATCACAATTTTGTGCAACCTGTAGTCCAGGGCCTGAAAATAGTTGCTTTGTACTTTCTCCAGTGTTATGGTTATTTATAATGGGAATGATCATCTGATATGAGTTATTCCATCATGGCCAACAGAACAAGTTAATTTGGTAACTACTGTAAGTCACAAAATTTATATTTATTTTTCTGACTATCCTAGATCTTGGACAAATCCTAATGAAGGCAGCTAATTTGTTATAATCAATAAGACCACAGTTACATAAGGAAATTTAACTGATTGTTGGGGTTTGTAGCCCTTTCTCTGAAATACTAGTGAGGTACCTTTTATTAGAATATCTGACAAAAAAATCAGCTGCAAGTTTAATAAGGTTCATCAATTTATGTTTCTGCTTAACTCACAGAAATATACCTCAAAGGTTAATGATATTCAGTAACCAGTTTTGAAGTAAAATAAAATTAGTTTAAAGGATTAAAAAATTTTAAGGTATGTGATTTGTATTACTATTCTTGGAAATACAACATGAATATTTCAACTATAAGGTCTTTTACCTTTTCTGTAAAGACATGTTGTTCTGATGATTATGGGACATAATTAATTATACTCTTTATATTCAGTTAGTTAATTGGTGTCCTTGTGCTGGTTGAATAATTACACTTTTAAATTGTAACCGCAGGCATATTTTGTGACGTCAGCTCCCTGCCATCTGAGAAATACACTTAAAGAATGTACCAAATTTACTCTGGTTGTACCCTTCCTTGCTTGAGGTATTCATGTCAAGGTATGATTACCACACAATGTCAGTCTTGGAAAGAAGGAGTCTGCCCCTGAGAAATGGTTTTATGTCAATATTTGATTTAGTGTATCTACACTCCCTAGTGAGATCTCAAATGGCTTAATTCTTTCTCATCAATGTGCCTGTTGAAATGCAGACTTCTCAGGAGTAGCTGGAGATATTGATTTTTATCGTTTTGTGTGCGAGTTTCTCCCTTGGTTCTGAGTGCCTGAATTTAGTAGGATGCACTTGTAACACTGATGTACAA